ACCCCGGGGTTCGGGTACAAACGGTTACGTACAAAAAAATTGGGCTTTTGTACGTAAAACAAAAGAAAGAGACAGGGCTTTGGCCGAAGCTCAATCAAAAAAAGCCTCCCCTATGGGATTGTGCTGTTGTTCGACGCAGTTTCATTTTAATCAATGCTTACAACTTTTGTTAAATAAGAGTAAATCTACAACAACACAATCTTTGAAATCCGTTGTGAGGTGAGAAAAGGTTGTAGAGGAAAGGATTACATTTTCCCTCTTATTAAAAATTAAAAAAAATTCATTTTTTAATCTTGAGCACACGAGAGAAAATAATAAATTAGAAGAGGTTTACCTTTTTGTGATGGGATTTCCAATAGTTTTTTTTTTTACTTTTTTTTTCAAGTAAAACATTTGTACAAAAAGAAAAATTTGAAATGGATTTATTTTTATTTTCAGCGTAAGGGAAACTCATCAAATAGCAGAAGCACAACAGGAGAAAAACGCAAAACTTCGGGAGGCTTTTGGAATTTCGGAATATTTCGTTGAAGGCAGCAGTTTGGATCCGCAAAGAAAAGTTAAAGAAGCTGCGGCCAAAGCTGCGGCAGAAGATACTAAAAGCACGGCCACCACTCAAAAATACGAGTTGGTCCGTACTCCTAGTCCCGCCCCTGAAAAAGAAATAGTAAAAAAACGGAAAAAAAGGGAAAGATCCACGTAAGTTTTTTTTTTTTTTTTTTTTTTTTACACGAAGCCGTTTAGAGGTTACGTAATTTAACCTCCCCTCCCCCTACCCTCTCATTCTCGGGAATGAACTTTTACTTATTATTATTATTATTCGTTTCAGGTCATCGGATTCGGAGCCGAAAAGTAAAAAGGATAAGAAAAAGAAAACGAAAAAACGGAAAAGAGATCGGTGTGTATTAAAATCCAGGTTTAATAAATAAATTTTTTTTTTTTTTTTTTATTTAAATAATTAACGCGTTACGCGTTCTTTTATTTTTACTTTTTTTTTAAATTAATAAAAAAGGATAAAAAATGAATTTTCTTAATGTCGCTTCTTTTCACTAATCATAATAATAATAATAATAATTTAAATAATTAATTAGCCCCGATATTAATTTTTTTATTTTGTTTAATGTCAGGTAGGTTTATGATAAACGATTTTTTTTTTTTTTTTTTTAATGGAGTTTTCTCGTGCAAAATTTTAATAAAATCTAAACGGAGAGTAAAGAGAAATGAAATTTTTGACATAATAAAACCTTTATTAAAACAACAATAACAATAGTTTATTAATAATAATAATAATAATAATAATAATATTTGTTTGGTAATTTTTTATTTATCGGTAAAAAAAATGTTAAAATAATTTTGTTTGCACACAATATATGATAATTTCGCACGGGGCTAGGTATATTATTTATTTATTTATTTATTTATTAAATGTTTTAATTTATAATGAGAGTGATCGAATCTGTTTGTTTTTGTTTGCCGTGCCTCAAATTGGTATAAAAAGTCAAAAGGTAATTTTTTGATATTTATTTGGTCACGATTTATTATTATTTTATTGTTATTTTAATTTTATACCTTTTAAATTATTTTTAATAATAAATATACGTATATTATATTATGTACGTATATATATTATATTAAATAATATTAATAATAATAATAATAATAATCGTTTTGTTTGGTAGTACCGCTTATTATTAAATTAATATTATTAATGCAAATCAATTATAAAAATAAATCGAAAGGATTTTTTGCTGTCGGAAAATGAAAAAAAAAAAAAATTCATCCCAATCTCTTCGACGTGTGTGTGGGAGGGAAAGAAAATTTTTAACGATACATTTAATTAATTAATTAAATGTATTTTTAAAAATTTATATTTATATATATAAATTAGAGTAAAATAGTATGATACGAACGAGATTGGGATTTTTAAAAAAAAAAATAGTAAATGCAAATTGCATGGATTTGGTGTAGAATAAACCGAAATGTGTGTCAAGTCATTTATTTATTACCATTTATACTGATAAATGAAAAAAAAAAAAAAAAAATAATAATAATAATAATAATAATAATAATAATTTGTTTGTTTTTTTTTTTGGTTTTTTTTTTCCCCCCTTTTAAAATAATAACGTTTATTTTAGATCCGAATCACCGAAACGTCAAAAGAAAAAAAACAAGAAAAAGAAAAACAAAGAAAAGGAAAAATTAAAGAAAAAATCACAAGTTCACGATAACAACATCTCAGATTCATCTGAATCTCAAAGGTAATTATTATTATTATTATTATTTTGGAAAGAAAAAAAAATAATTAGGTTGGGAAGTGTTTAAGAGTTTAACGTATAAATTCCAGCGATTCGGATGTACGTAAAGAATCAAAAAAAAAAGATAAAAAAGACAAAGAGAGTAGTAGTAGTAAATCCAAGAGAAAAGAGAGAGAAAATTTGGAGAAGAAAAATGAAAAGGAAAAAAAATTAGAAGAAAATGATGATAAGTTAAAGAAAAAAGAAAGGCAAGATGTTAAAAACAGGGATAAAAGAGAGGATGATAAGAAAACATCGTGTAAAGAAGTTTCGAGTAAAATCAAATTGTCGAACAACAACAACAGCAATTCGAAAAAGGATCGTAACGAAAAGGTAAGAATTTTCCTCATAAAATATTTTTTCATTGAAAAAAAAGGAAAAAATCGTGTTAGGTTTAGTAGAATTCTTATACGAAACGATTTAAAGAAAAACTAATTCATATTGGTTTGATATTTTGGGAAAGTTAAAGTGAACCTCTCGAACAAACAAACAAACAAAAGAAAAAGAATCTCGAATCTCTTTAATTCGAATACGTTATCGATTTTGATTGTTTGTAGTATTTGAACGGGATTTTTTAAATCTTTCGACATGAAAATATTTTTTTCTTTTCTCAGTCTTTCTATTAATCACGTAGAAAAATAAAAATTCTCTCGATTTAAAAGGGGGGGGGGGTGTCTTGGGATTTTGGGGGTTTGTTTTCATGTTTACCGGTTAAAAAAAAAAATAAAAATTATTCGTATCGATAATTATCAAGGTGGAAATAAACATTTGATGATAACAAGCGCTCGAAGCATTCATTTTTTATAAGTTTTCTGCTTTTATTCTTATTATTAAAAAAAAAAAAAGGTAGAAAAGCAGAAAAATTATTATTATTATTATTATCATCACTATTATTATTACTATCGCTATATACTTTTTAAAAAAAAAAAAAAAAAAAAAAAAAAAAAGGTTTTTTTTAATAAAATCGGTTCGGTTGTTTAATCTAACGTTGCCCTGCTTGCTCGTTTCATGCTATTACTTAGCCCACTTTAACGACGAATCGTCACATGGAGTACTAATTATCCGAAAAAAATTAAAAACCAAAACAAAACAAAAAAAAACAAAAAAAAAGTAAGTATTTTTTTTTAATGTTTAATGACACATATACTGTACATAAATATATATATAAATATATATAAAATAAAACTCGAGTTCCCCGATTTTTTCTTTTTTTTTTTTTTTAAATATTAAAATCATATTTTGATTTCCTATTTTTCTTTTCTTTTTCTTTTTTGTTTTTTCTTTTTAAATTAACGAATAATAACCAAGTTTTTATATTATTTTAAAAAAGTTGTTGTCAGTGTGTAGTATGTACTACTCTACTGCTTTTTTTTTTTTTTTTTTTTTTTTTTTTACGATTTTATAATAAATAAATGAATGAATAATTATTCATTCAAGTTTTTAGATTATTATTATTATTATTATTATTATTATTATTATTATTATTATTAAAAGGAGTGAAACAGGTAAAATGTTGCATTTAAACGGTTATTAATAGTAAAAAAAAATAAAAATGAAAGAGTAAAACTCTTTTTTTTCTTTGGTTCAGAGTTCGAGGATCTAGCTCGTAGGAAACGACGTAAATATAGCATGATATCTCATTATTATTATTATTATTATTTTTTGGTTTTTTTTTTTTCATATAATAAAAAAAAAAAAAAAAAAAGTTAAAGAGCAATGTTTTTCATATAAGTTTGTGTCGTTAATTTTTATAAGGACGAGTCACATGATTTGATTAAGGATTAAGGATTATTTTAAAAAAAAAAAAAAAGAGAAAAAAGGGTAAAAAAAATTAGTATATATTAAGTTGTTTGAAATTCTTATTTGAATAAACATTGGGATCCCGCCGCCATTTTTTTTTAAAACGGTTTTCTTTTTTTCGCGTCCCTCAAATCTTATTTCAAATCATTTGACTCGTTCTTTTTAATTTGTAATAACGCTGAAGAGAGTAATGTATTGTTTAGATTTTTTTTTTTTTTTTTTTGGTAGTCACTCATAGCTGTGCTTTTTTTTTTTTATTCAAAACTCATTTTTATTTTAATTTTTATATTTTTCTTATTTTGTTTTAGAATTCTCAGTATGAGGGAAGTTCGAAAAAAAAGGTTCATTCAGTTGAACGCTCACCCAAAAGGTTGTTGTTTTTGTTTATTAATGATTTTTAAAAAAAAAAAAATTTTTTTTTTTTTTTTTTTTAAATAATTTAATTTTTATAATTATTTTTTTTCTTATAGTTCGTCGGAATCGGAAAAATACAAAACAAAAGAAACATCCCCAATTAAAATAAATAAACATTCGAAAAAATTAAATAAACACAATAGCGGAAAAAATTTATCCAAAAAGGATGAAAAGTACGAAAATAATACGAAGCAGTTAACTGAGAAATCGACCAAGAGTAAAGGAAAGAGTAAATCGCCATCTTTAAAAAATCGAGATTCTCGTTCGCCTCCCCGAAGGAGATCTCGGTCGCCGAGAAATAGAAGTCATAGGGGTCGAGATAGATCTCCATCTGTGAGTAGGGGAAGAACTAATAGGTATCAAGGAAGAGGTCGATCGCCGCGTAGGTCACGTTCAAGAAGTTATTACCGTCACAGAAGAGGAACAGGGTCGAGACGTAGAAATCACACGAGGAGCCGGTCGCGTACGAGATCACCTCGAAGAAGGCGAGATAGATCCCGAAGTTCTTCACGGAACAGAAGGAAAAACGAGTCTCGTAAAAAATCCAAAGTATCACCCTCGCCCGTAAGGGATAACAAAAAAAGTAAAACGAGGAGCGAAAGCAATGAATCGAGTTTAAGTTATTCTCCCATTCAAAGAAATCCCGAGCGTTACGCTCATCTCTCCGATGATCGCGATAAGAGAAAGAAAAAGGAAAAAAGCGAAAATAAAAATAAATCGAAAGAAAAGGCCAAGTTAATGCCGAGAGTTAGATTAAGGTCATCGAGTTCGGAAGATGATGGAGAATTGCCTCCGGAGACTCAAAAATTTTCACCCGAGCAAAGGGATTCGGAAGTAAGAGCTTTACAACTTCTTCGAGCTAAAGCAAAAGAAACTTTAGAGAAAAAGATTCCGGCTAATAAAAGTTTGAAACCGTCGAATGAAGAAGGAATCGAAAGCGAAAGTAAAAAGTCAAGCGTTAGTAAAGTACAATCCGAAACGACGTCTTCTACCTCCTCGAAAGAAGTTGTGGAAGTTGTGGAAAATCATCATGGTCCCAGTACGAATGAACAAGTAGTCAAGGTAGAGGATATAGCCATCCCTGAAGTTCCACCTCTTCCATCTACAACTCCTCCGGTTCAAAATAGAAAATCAAGATCCCGGGATTCATCATCTGGTTCTGATTCGGACAGGTGAGGGAGGGATTCTAGTAGAAAATTTTTGTTTAAAATTATTTAAAATCATCGGTGATTGATAAATTTTAATTTTAGTTCGGTATCATCCGACGGAAGCAAATCCGCATCGAGAAGTCGAAGTCGATCGTCAAAAAGTTCCGCGTCATCGAACACTACCAAGAGTAAAAGTAAGTCGCCCAAATGCGATAACAAAAGATCGTCGTCTCGAAGCCGAAGTCGGAGTCGATCGAAGGAAAGTTCAAAAAAACGAAATTACACTCATTCGAGAGGTTCGAATAAGAAAAAAAGTAGGAGCACGTCACGAAAGAGATCGCACACTCCTGAAACAACGGTCAAATCTTCACCCTATAAAGTGAGGAGTAGGAGTCGCTCTTCTCAAAAAAGTAATCATTCGAGAAAAAACAGATCGCAAACAAGTAAAATTAGAAAAGAGAGGAGCGTGAGTAGGTCTCGGAGTCGGAGCACATCGAAACCGGCAAGACGGTCTAGAACTCGAAGTAATTCGAAGAAAAGATCGAGGAGTCAAAGCTTGAGAAGATCTCGAAGCAGAAGCATTTCTAAAAACGGAAGGTCACGGTCCCGAAGTTTATCCAAAACCGGACGAAGAACCAGGAGTCGAAGCTTTTCTAAAAATGCAAGATCCGTGAGCAGGAGCTTATCGAAAAGTGGAAGGCGAACGAGGAGCAGAACTCGGAGTCGAACTCGGAGCAGGTCGAAACACTCTCGAAGATCGAAAAGTAGAAGTCCGAGAAGCATTTCGAGGCGTTCTCATTCTTTCAGTAGTAGCTCATCATTATCTCGTTCATCGCGTACGAGATCACCTTCCATACCTCGTAGAAGGGGATCTCCTAGTTTTTTAGACAGAAGACGAATTACCAGGTACGGAAAAACAAAACAAAAAAAAAAAGTTTTCACGATAAAATGCACGAATATTTATGAATTTCATAGTTGTTAAGTTTTGTTAGATTTTGATTTATTCAAGTTTGTTTTCATTCGAAAAAATTTCCGTCAATTTCTAAGTCTGTCTAATTTTACAACCCCGCCTCTTTCCCCTCCCCCTTCCCGCCCCCTCCCTTCCCCTCGCTTTTTAAGGCCCCTCCTACTCTTTTTTTTTTTTTCATTTTCTCAGAGCTTTCACATTATTATTCAATCGCATTTTTAATTACGTCACTTTTTTAGTTTTTTATTATTATTATTATTTTTAGCTTTTTTTTTTTTTTAAGTTTTTGATTACAAATTTTGTTTTAGCTTATTATTATTATTATTTTTTTTATTTTGTTTTTTTTTTTTCAATTTTGATTTTCAGTCGTAGAAAACGGAGCAGCAGAAGTAGTTCGTTTGAAAGAAAACGTCGATAAAAATTGAATAGTTTGATATATGAAGAAATGCACGAAAATAATATTATTATTATTATTGTATTTAAATCTCCTGGGCACGTTTAATTTTATATTATATATATACGCACACTCATATACACAATCAACAAACAAACAAAAAAAAATTTTTTGTCGTCGTCATCGTCGTCGTCGTCGTAGTTTTAATTTGCATGTTTATGATATGAAACATAGAAAATGATGGCGGTTTGAATACGTCATAGTTATTCTCTTTCTTTCGTATATGTGCTGAAACGTATAGAAATGACAAGACTGAATGAAGCATGTTGTGAATTTTAGTGGTACGTTTGTCACTCGGTTAAAATTTTTCAAAATCCGACGGAGACTTACCGGAAAACAAAAAACAAAGAAAAAAGAAAAAAGAAAAAAGGAAAACGTGTGTGAAGCAACATGTCGACATTAACTGACATCAAGACAGACATATTTTCTCAACGGTGGTAAATTACGTAAAATAACTAAAGTTACGCACAACAGACAAACAAACAAACAAACAAACAATCAATCAATACGATCGATTTCGTATGGAATAAATAAATGAATGAATGAATGAATGACTACCTCCGAACCCAAAAATTACGTTCAAAAAGTATTATTATTATTATTATTATTTAATATTCGGACGCCTTTTCAAGTTTTTTTATTATAAAGTCAAATTAATAATAATAATAATAATAATAATAATAATAATAATTTAAGCGAGTATTTAAACAAAAGAAACAAATTTTGACATATGAGTAAAAGTTTTATGTTTGTATATGACAAATTTTTTTTTTTAAATTAAAAAAAAAAAAAGTTTTTTAAACTTATTATTATTATTATTATTATTATTATTATTATTTTTCTTTTGATTACTATTAGAATAGAGAAGAAAAGTGTTTTTATTTTAAAAGACTTTTTTTTTTTTGTAGAATATTAATTACTACTACTACTACTACAACTACTTAAGTAATAAATATTATTTACATTACATATTATTTTGCGTTTTTTATTTATTTATTTATTTTAATTTTATTTATTTATTTATTTCCCAGCATTGAAATTTTTTGTTTTTTTTTGTGATGATGAATGCAAAACGTCGTAGGTAAGTTATTAATTTTTATTTTATTTATTTATTTTAAATTTGTGATGCATGTTTTACGTTTGAATTTATTATTAACGTTATTTAATACATAATTTTATTGTTAAAAAAAATTAATAATTAATAATAATAATAATGAAATTAAAGTTAAAAAAGTAATTAAATTTATTATTTAATAAGTTTTGAGATTAACTAAAAAAAATTTTTTTTTTTTTTTTTTATTTAAAAATTATGGAATTAATTAATTAATTAATTAAAAAATATTTTTTTAGCGCAAGGAAACGACCCATTCCATATCATCGTCCGACACCTTCTAGTTCTAGCAGTTGTAGCAGTCGTAGCCGTAGCAGAAGCAGAAGTCTAAGAAGTTGGACAAGATCTCGTAGTCGATCGATTGTAAGAAATCGTAGAATTCCGAGCGAACCTAGAACGAGAAGATCGCGGACGAAATCTCCTTCGCCCAAACCTGAATCATCACCTCCGGAATCATCATGTGAAATATATAATTTAGAATCACCCTCACTACAAAATGCCCAATGGACTCCACCCGTCGAAGAAGAATTTAAAGAACCAACACCCGAACCTGAAAAATATTCATCTCCTCCGCCGCCGCCGCCGCCACCACCACCACCACCACCACCTTCGGTAAAAGAAGTGACGGAAGAACAAGTGGAAGAGATTCCTGTCGTGAAAGAAACACCCATAAGTATAGCTTCTGTATCTCGTACTAGCATTCCTCACAGTCGTCCTACCATACATCACATACACCCCTCTTTGGCTCTTCTTCATCATGCTCGACCACATGGAGGATTATCTCTTGTTCACGAACCAATTCTTATCGATCCATATCATCCATTGCTAAGAACTCCCCTACAAAGACACATTCCAGGATCTTATTATTCCCCATATTTGGGTGCTCCCTATTGTTAAGGGGGTATTTCCTTCTTTTTAATATCGATCATTGCCAAAAATAATTATTTACGTTACATAACTTATTAATTTTTATTTTTATTTTAATCGCTTGAATAACTTATTAATTTATTTATTTAAAAAAAAATTTAATTTCCGCTTATAACTTACCCGAATTATATACATTCTCGCAAATAATAATAATAATAATACATTGGTGACATTGATAAGAAATACTCAAGTAATAATAATAATAATAATACTATTAGTTAAATTATTTAAAATACGAAGGGGTAATAATTTAGTTTTTTAGTCGAGATGATTGGTTTTCTAAAAAAATTATTTATATATATCTGCCTTAATTTTTATTTAAATTTTTTTTTCGGATTGCGATAGGTAGCCATTTGTAAAATAAATATACTCACGATATTCTATTTTTAAAATTTAAAATTTAAATAATAATAATAATAATAGGCTTATATTTATATATATATATACGATAAATATTTAAAAAAAAAAAAAAAAGGTGAAAATTTTAAATTTCGTGTTACCAAAAAGAGAGAAAAAAAAAGGCAAATAATATTTTCATATGTTTACGTGCAATTTTTTTTTTACTTATTTATTTATTTATTTATTTATTTATTTATTTATTTATACATAGGTAGTTATTAATTAATAACGGCAGAAATAAAGCTTTACGTGCAACGATTAAATGCTCTTGCAAATTTAAATTGTTTCTAGTCTTTGATAGCTTTTAAAAATTAATTAATTAATTAATTAATCGTGTCTATGAATGATATTAATTAGTTTAAATGTACAAATTATTAATTATTATTATTTTCTAGTCGATTATGATAGTCGTGGTGTGTCTAACTGGAAATGAGCGACAATTTTTTTTATGTTAAATTATAATTATTTATTTTATGTTAAATTATAATTATTTATTTTTTATTTTTATGGATAATTAATTGTGGAAAATTTTTATTATTATTGGATAATGGAATTGTTATTAAAAAAAAGAAAATTGTTTGATTCATTGTTAATTTCAATTTAGATTTTTTGTATGTCGCCGTCGCTTTTTTCCAGTTTACACATAAATATATATATATAAATAAAATAAAATAAAATAAATTATTTTTTATTTTGCATTCCAACGACAGACATTGTTTTGGTCGTATCAGCTGTTTTGATCTCATCTTTATTGTGATGTTTCTCTTATCCTGTTTAAATAATAATTTCTTCACGTAATAATAAATTATTATATTTTAATCATAAAAATGTACTTAATAATAATATTTATTGTAATAATATATATATGTAATACGTAAAAATTTATTATTATTATTTTTGTTTAATAATATTTACGTTTTTTCCATTTTTTTTAAATAATTTTTTAAAATTTATTTTGTTTTGGTAAACTGATTTAGTACGTTTAAACACTATTTATAATTTAACGCGCCAATTTTTTCAATTTAAAAAATGTCGTGGCACGAGATGTTAAACAATTTGTAAGCATTGAAATTTAAATATGGCTTCCAGATTGGAGAAGATCGGCAGTATTTACGCTAGGTAAGTACGATATATTTTATAATAGTGGTTTTTTTTTTTGTTTTTTTTTTTTTTTTTAAATAAGAGAACAGCATTATTATTAATAATTATTATTATAATTTATTATTGTAAATATTTTTTTTTTTTTGATAGAGTCAGTAATTTATTAAGTAAAAGAAAACCAGGTTCAATTGAAAAACCTTTATGGTTTGATATCTACACAAAATATCCTCCTATACAAGAACCTTTATGGAACAGACCTCCTTTAGATATTAAAGTCAAAGAAATATTTTATGAAGAAGATAAAATTAGGGCAAAAGTACATAAAGCTTTAAAAAATAAATTGACTCCTTTTAATTTAGCTGATAACAGAAACAATAATGAAAGTGAATTACCAATAAAATTATATCAAGATTATGTCTCACAAGGATTAACAGAAGATGAAGCTATACAAAAATTGACTGAAGATTTCAATAAGGAGTAAATATTATTAAAATTATATTTACATAAGTAAACAAATAATGAAAAATAAAAGTAAAATGAGATGGTGCTTGAATACATAAATATTATATTTGATTATCTCGAAATAATTTTCTTACATAATGCTATTTTAATTTTAAAAAATTAGTTTCACTGAAGATTAGGAAATATTTATAGTGTTGTGATATGTATCAGTTTCATTAGTTGATTAAATTATAAAAATAGATATATACTTTAAAAAGTTCTGTTTCATTAGTATTATACTAAATGTTGTTATATTTTTAGTAGAATACTTAAATCGTTTTGGAAAATTTCAATTATTTAATAAAAATCTTAAATTAATATAATTTTTATAAAGAAATATTTTCACGATTTAAATTATGCATAATATTTAACATTATATATTATTCAGGTAAAATGTATACTTATTATTTATAAAAATTATAATACAAATAATAATAAATAATACAAGTTAATAATTTATATATATAATTTATTATACAAATTATAATAATGAATAGATAAATATAATTAAAAAATTAAAAACAATGTTTAAGTCAGAGCATACTGAAATTCTTTAGTATTTTCATAATCACAAATATCTAAAGCTATTTCGCAGCTTTCTCGAACAACTCTTTTTTCATCGTCTAGAAATGTTTTTAATATATTAAAACATTCTTCCGTTGCAATGGCTCCCAAAGCCTCAGCACATTCATGCCTGACCATTTCATTTTTTGTTTTATCTTTTAAACATTCAATTAATGCAGGAATAGTCACTTTGTTTTGAAGCTGTCCTAAAATAAATGCAATTTCATGAGAAAACAATGCACTATTTGACTTTAATCCCTTGGTTAGAATCAGAGCAGATTCATCTGAAGCAATATTTCTCAAAGCAAACATAGCCTTGTATCTATCGAACAAACTTAACGATTCATTTAAAAGCATTCTATCAAGTTTTACTAAATCTGTTTCGTTAGATGCTGGTGCTGGATCAACACTTTGAAAATGATGAAATGAATCAGATTCTTTATCATTATCATTATTTTGTAACCAACTTAATCGAGCCAAAGCAAGTTCGCATGTTTCTGCAACTTCTTGAATTTTGTCAGTTGAATAAGTTTTGAGTGTTTCAGCCACTGAAGATAATCCTATGGCTCCTAGAGCTTCGGCTGCTTCATGCCGAACAATTGGTTCTTGATTTTTATCTTCTAATATTTTAATTAATAATGGAATAGCTTCTTTATTTTGCATTTGGCCCAAACAATAGGCAAGTTCATGCTTCAATAAAGCAGATGGATCAGAAAATCCCTCACTAATGCATGCTACTGACGTAGAATTGTTAATGTTACGCAATGAAAATAAAGCCCTGAATCTTGCTTTTAACGGCTTTTTCGAATCATTTAAAATCGCACCTATAGCTTTAATTTTATCTTCAGGAACATTTACCATGCTGACAAAAAAAATTAACCACTCACACTTGTAATTTAAAAAACTTAAATTTTAATTTTCTAATGACACGTGAATGAGTAATGTAAACAAACAAGTGTTTTATCCAGTATATATTTTTAATCACTTTAAATTGTGCAATTTTGTGAAATGGCTAGTCGATTTAGTGGAGCTTTACAGTTAACAGATCTAGATGACTTTATAACCCCTTCTCAAGTACTCTTACCGTTAATTTTATTTATTTTTAATTTTAATCCTTTTATTCGCTTCTTATGTTCATGTTAAAGTAGTACTTTAATAAAAAAAATTTTAAATATTAAATTATTTATTATATATTTATTATTTTAGGAATGTATTAAGCCTGTAGAAATAAAGAAAAACCCAACATCAACTGGTTCTAAAATTAAAATTCAAGATGATGGCTACTATGAAGAAAATAATTTTGGACAAGTTCAAAAACTACAAAAAGTACAAATTACATTAAATGATTGTTTAGCTTGTAGTGGATGTATAACTTCCGCAGAAGGCGTTCTTATAAATCAACAAAATTTTACTGAAGTTTTAAAATTTTTGGATGACAATAACAATTTTAAAAAAAATGGAACTTCAAAAATAGTTGTCATTTCATTATCAATCCAGCCCATATTATCATTATCTGAAAAATATTCAATGAATCCAGAAAAAGTAGCTGGATGTTTGGTAACCTTGTTTAAAAGTTTAGGTGCAGATAAAGTAGTAGAAATGAGTTTAGCTGAAGACTTGGCTTTAATGGAGTCTCAATTTGAATTTGTTGAAAGATATCGAAACAGTGACAAAAACTTAAAAAAGATGCCCATGTTGTCCTCATCATGTCCTGGTATAATAAATATAAAAGAATAAAATTTGAAGATCTTTTTTAACATCCTGTAAACTTGAAAATTTTACTTTTCTTTAACAGGCTGGATTTGTTATGCAGAAAAAAGTCATGGAAGTTTTATCTTGCCTTACATTAGCACCACAAAATCGCCACAACAAATTATTGGCTCTCTTATTAAGTATAATTTAGGATATTCACCTGAGCAAGTTTATCATGTAACTTTAATGCCATGCTATGATAAAAAATTAGAAGCATCGAGAAATGAATTTTTTAATTCACAATTAAATGTTAAAGATGTTGACTGTGTTTTAACCACAAGTAAGTTATATTTTCATTATAGGTTTAAAAAAAACTTAAAATCTTAAATTTAATTAAATTTTACTTATAGTTGAACTGGAGCAGTTATTATCTGAAAGAAATATTTTATTCAGCACCCTACAACCTGGTACTTTAGACTATCCATGGGGTCAACCTTCTGATAAATTATTAAGAGGTCATTCTGGTTCTGGATCAGGTGGTTATGCTGAGAATGTGATAACATATGCTGCTCAAGAGCTATTCGGTATTCGATTAGAAAATTTAAATTGGAAAGTTGTAAGGTAAAAAATTACAATTTAAAAATATTTCAGTGCTTTTAAAATATAAAAATTATATTGCACCATAAAAAAGCAAATCAAAATTTAACAAAAAAGAAAAAAAAACAAAATATATAAATTAATATTTTCACTTAAATAATTTAATTTTTACACATTATAAATATTATTAAAAAATAAAATAAATATTTACATATTACATTTACAATAAAAATTTATTATAAAAATAAAAAATTGCATCATTAATAAAGTTAAATTTTTTTTTTAATAAAGCAGGATTGTATAAGTATTTCAAGTAACTAATAAATTACATTAGCAAAATATAACAAAATTTTTACTATTATACCTTGTGTAATACATAAAACATACAAGCAACTTAAATATTTAGTAATGATGATAATACCTAAATCAAAATTGCACATTTATTATAAAAAAAAAAGTAATAAAAAAATTGTATAAGAATCATTAGTTAAATTTGTATAAGAAAAAAATGTTTTCCCCTCCCCCTCCCCCTGATTTCACTGTTGTAGAAAAATATTAAACTTTTATTGGTATACAAATATGGTGTTTTTATTATATTTTAATTTTTTTTTTTTTTTTGTTTCAGAAATCCTGATTTTACAGAAGTCACTGTTGAACATGAATCAAAACAAGTTCTTAATTTTGCAATAGCTAATGGTTTTAGAAACATTCAAAATATTGTACAAAAAATCAAGAGAAACAAATGTCCTTATCATTATATAGAAATCATGGCTTGTCCATCTGGTTGTCTTAATGGTGGAGCACAAATTAGACCTGATAGTTCAATACACACAAAAGAATTTATAAACAAGTTAGAGAATTTATATAAAAATTTACCAATTGTCAGCCCTGAAAAAAATTTACAACTACAACAACTCTATACGAAATGGTTAGATGGGATTGGCAGTGATAAATCTGTGGCACTTCTTCACACCACATACAGAGAAGTAGAAAAAACGCAATTAGCATTGAATATTAAATGGTAATTTTTTCACAAACTGGTAGTGTTTCCATTGCTCGATAATGGAATAGACCACGCCTGATTTTTTTCAACTTCTTTTGTGACTACAATAAACAGTTCTCTGTCATTGTTTTTAAGTTCTGTCCTGAGAAAACTGATAAGACTATTCGACTGTAAAAAAAAAAACAAATATATAATTTTATGTATGTTTTTCATCATCAAACAGTAAAAAAAAAAAAAAAAAAAAAACATTTACTTACATCTCCGAGTACTTGTGGAGATTCATTTTTAGAATCTAAATTATAATACTGGTCATCAATTTTACGAATGGCTACCCAATGTCTTCTGTGCAAGCGTATTGTGAAAACACAAAATTTGTAATCACTAGGAGTATTGAGTATAAACCCGACTATATTCGAAAGATTTATACTATTTGGATCTCTGAAAAATGTTTATATTTACTATTTTATTTTTGAACAATTAAAAAAATATTTTATAATTTACATTATTATTATGGATAATAAATTTTGTATATATGTAAACATTAGCATTTGTTAAATCAATTTGAATTTATAAGTTACCGTTATACTAATGTTTTCTCTAATTTAAAAAATTAAAATTATTATTTTATTAAGGGTGCTAAGATTTTGATTAATTACTTTGAATAAAAATACAATCAGTTTTAGATTCAGAGAAGAAACAATATTATTAAACATGATGATTAAAATTATTGATCATTTTAAAATATGTGTTAAACGTTTTTCAACTTACTTTCGTTTGTCAAACCAAATTCCCTCATAACCTTTAGATTGTAATGCAATTAAAATAACATTAATATCATAGTTTCCCAATCCTAAGACTGATTTATGAGGATTGATCCATGAATTAGGAGCCAATGTTTCACAGATTGCGTCCAATTCTTTTTTTTCATACTTTTTGCTTTGAAAAAGATTATTCAGTGCATGTAGTGCACAAAGCTCTTTTACCTTATTAAAAAAAAACAATGTTGTTTAAGCCATTAAAACATCAATAAAATTTTGCACTATTTTCAAAAAATTTTTTTATTTATTACGACTAATACATAATTTTAAATATTTTTATCGAAAATTTGGGATATTTTCGGTGAATAAGATAACGAAAAAAAAATTAATAATAAAAACTGAGAAAAGTGTTTTCGTACCTGCCTTTCATGATAAATGTCATTCATCTCAAAATGAATTTTTTTTTTCCAAACAACATTGTAGCATTTTCTAAGAGTGGTCATTTGAAAAATATAAAAAAATACATGAATAATTTAAAAAAAGTATGTTACAATTAAAATGTAATAACATAAATTGTGCTATTTAAATAGGTAAACTCAGTTTTAGGTCCTTGACATCTTTTTTCTAATTCCACGATCAAAAATAATATTTACTTTCAGTATTATTTTCTGAAAATGTTTATATATTTAGCGATTTAGTATAATCTAACATAAATTTTTATATCAAAAAATTAAATTTCAACTTAAATTTTTACATAGCAGGTAACTTTCATATATACTTATATATAACGTTTTATCTAAAATTTATTCTTAAATTAAAAAATAATTTATTAATTTTAGGTCTGTCGTCAAGTAAACTAACGTCAATTTTACTGTATGCCAATAATGAAATTAATAGATATTGATTTCTTTATTAAATAAAGTTTTTTTTTGTTAAATGACCTATAATTTATGAGTTTTTAATATTGCAAAAGTACTTCGGGCCTAAATTCTTTTCATCATTTGTAAAATAGAAAAGAAAAAAAAAAAAACGTAAATTGTTAAAAATTATTTAAGTAAAATATATATAATGGGAAATTTAACCAGCAGACAGAATGTTGGTATTGAAGAAGTTGATGTTGTTTCAAATCATGCATATAAGTACCCTCCTAAATCTGGAAATTATTTTGGAAGTCATTTCATTATGGGTGGTGAAAGGTTTGATACCACACAACCAGAAGCTTATTTATTTGGAGAAAATATTGATTTAAACTTTTTAGGAAGTAAACCTACTCCTGTAAGTTATTTAAAAAAATTCTTAGCTATTTTCGAATTATATTTAATTATTAATTAGAATTACGCTATGACGAAAACTAAAAAAAAATTTTAATAGTAATGAATTTTAATCTTTTATTATTAGTTTCCATATCCACCTCCTCAAGCCAATGAACCGACAAAAACTTTAAGGAGTCTTGTCAATATTAGAAAAGAATCTGTCAGATTTGTTAAAGCACCAGAATTGGTTTTAAAATCAAATTTTTCAAATGAAACATCCACAGATAACAAATTTAATATTGAGTTTACTTTTGATTGTGATTGTAGTTGCACAATAGTAATATATTATTTTTGTACTGAAGAGGTCACTAGTACAGGACTTGTGTAAGTAAAATTACTGACAATACTTTAAAAAAAAATTTTTTTGAGTTTGATAAACATATTTTAATACTGATAAATTTTTTTTACAGGTATACTTCCAAAGATCCATTAATGACATCAGAAAAGTTTCATTACAAAAGAGGATCCAATCAACAATTTTCACAAATTTCTCATGTATTTGATCCCAGTAAATTTTCTGAAGATGAACTTACTTACGACTTAGAAAAGGAAGTTATTCCTATTGCCATTCATTGCATCGCAGAAGATGGAAACGAAGGTAAAAATAAAAATAATTCAATTAAACCTAAGCCTAAAAATAATTTTTATAATAAATTTAATTTTTTTTTAACCACTCTAAATATTTATTAGGAGAAAACCATCAATCTCATACAACTTATGCTATTGTGGATCATCATTCAGATGGCACTTATGTGTTGAAAGCTTTAAAGCAAAAATTGTATGTTGATGGTCTTTGCTATTTGCTGCAAGAAATTTATGGAATAGAAAATAAAAATAATGATAATGCAAAGGTTTTTATGTATTTTAATTTATTCTGTATATTAATTTTCACATATTTCTTCTGTTTTGAGAAATTCAGTAAAAAAAAAAAAAATCATCTAAAGATTTTATACAAATACATTTTTTAGGTTCTGAGTGATGAAGAAACAGAAGACAATGGTTCAGATTGTGTAATTTGTATGTGCGACATGAGGGATACCCTTATTCTGCCATGCAAACATTTGTGTTTATGTAATTCTTGTGCTGATTCTTTAAGATACCAAGCTAACAATTGTCCCATTTGTAGAGCACCTTTTCGAGCTTTATTACAAATTAGAGCCTTACAAAAGTCTTTTACATCAGCTTCAAACCCTACATTACATGTTGTAGAAGTTGGTATTATTTGTTTAAAGCAAAATTGTATTTTAGTATTTTTTTACATTTTAAATTATGCAATCAATTTCTTAGGGAAGTTGTGAACATACTCCTCCAGGATATAAAGCTGTGTCACTAATTGAAGCTTTAAATGGTCCTTGCACTCTTCGTTCTACAGCATGCCAAGATATGACGGAAACACTAAATTCAGAATCAGCTGCACAGGCTGCTGAAATGTTGAATAGGTAATTTTACAATTTTAAAATTGTAAATTTGCTTATTGTTATAAAAATTAATATTTCCTTTTAGATCTAGCAACTCGGACGACAGTAAAAAATCATCAAGCGAAAATGGTAGCGTGCATCGATTAAGTGCAACGGCTTCTTCAACACCCGAATTTCGAATGTCGGTTTTATTGGCTCGAGAAGATGGTAGTAAAAGTTCTCCTTCGTTATGTAGACGTAGCTCTTCCAAACGGAAAAGCAGTCGTTTGGATGATGAATATAGCAACGAAGAAAAAGTAGCTACGGAACCCGATCAGGTGCCGCATTTAACAGCATCGACATTTTTTTTTTTTTATATTTTAATATTAAGTTAACCATTTATATTTGTTTCAGTGTTTCGAGGGTGACAGCGATGCTGAAAAATTGTCTCCATTATTGGTCACAAAAAAAGTAGAGGTTCCCAGTGAGGAAAATAATTTAGAAAAAGAAATACACAATAACTTTCCAGAGCCTGATAAGAAGCCCTCATTTACAGGAGGTTTGGAGAGAGGAGACGACTCCGATTATTACACTCCAGAGGATCCAGCTCCAACGGTGACGAGTCCTTTATACGAATCAGATAAAGTAGACGAAAATAATTTTTTTTTAGCACAAAGCTAAAAAATTGTCGTTTACAAGTTATAATTTCTTTTTTTTTTTTTTTTTTTTTTGAGAAAAGGTAGTACATTTTTTTTTTACAAGAATAATTCTTTTTCTTTTTTCCAGGAACAACCTACTCCATCGTCTGTAGAAAGTACTCCAGGACGATGGGTTCCCACAAGAGATGTAATGATGACTGTTTCTTTGCCGGGGACTCCAATAAGCACTTCAAGTCATTTGAGCGCGCGTTCGAGCGGTGATTCCTACAGTTCGACTAGTTCCACGCGACATTTGTTAGCTCACAACGTAGCCAACAAACAGGAAAAAGTTACCAGCGGTCAGGTAAATACATAAAAATACGGTCACACGAAAAGAAAAAAGACAAAACTTAGCTTTAATTAATTTATATATATAAATTATAATTTTAAATTTATTATTATTATTATTATTATTTTCGACTGTTTAAAATAATAATTGTTTGTTTCTTTGTCGTCGTCGTCGCAAGTGTGCAATTTTTAAATGAATCATAGAGAAAGAAAACAAACAAACCCAACAAATCCTTTTTATATATTTGAAAATTTTATAGAAAGATTTTTAATTTCCGTATCCGTTTGTCCCTTTAAAGTTTGTCATGATATCACAAAATAATTTTAATAATTTTTTATTAATTAAGTCGAAGCCATTGTTATCATATATGTTTATCACACCGATCGATTTTATTCAAACAGTAATAATTGTTCCCCAAATAATATAAATATAAACTGCTATTATTATTATTATTATCATCATTATTAATAATTTTTCATAAATTTTTTATTTTTTTATAACGGTTAGTTTAAATGAGTCGGTCACACGATAATACATAATTATTAATTTTAAAATAAATTTATTCGCCGCGAATTATTATTAATTATTATTATTATTATTAATTAATTAGTAAAGTAATTTATCTCAAATTTTTGTAAAAAAAAAAAAAAAAAAAATTTTTTTATATATTTAAATTATAAATATATATATGTAATGTATATCAAAAATAAAAAAATTTGTTGTTATTATTATTATTGATTTTATTTAAAAAATTTATTTATTTATTTTCTTTTACTTATAATTAATAAAATTTTTTTTATTTACATTTTATGATGAGCAGCATACATATTTATTTTTAAAAAAAATTAATGATAATGATAATTTCACATGAGTCTTTCTATTTAAATTTTTTTGTTTGGATTTCCGGTTCAAATTATTCAGATTTCCGGTAAGTTATACTAAAAAAAAATTTTTTTATTTTATTTATAAAAAATGAGAAAAAGAAAAAAGAAAACAAACACAAATTTTAAATCCGATTTTTTTTTTTATTTCAAAATAAAATAATAATAAATTTTGTCATAATTTTTTTTTTTATCTTAACATAATAACCAAAATCTCTCTTGTTTATTACTAATAATAATAATAATTAAAATGAAACAACATTTTTATATTAAATTTTCAATTATTACTATTATTATTATTATTTACATATTATTAAAATAAAATTTTTAAATATAATAATAATATTTGTGTGTCAATTAATAACCGGAAAAATTAAAATTTTAAAAAAAATTTAAACATAAATTATTAATAATAATAATTTGTTTTTGTTTATTTATACATAATTTTTTTTTATTTTTTTTAAAAATATTAATAAGAGATCAATTTTTTATTTTTATTATTGCAATTCGTTTGAAGAATTATAAAAAAAAAAAAAATTAATTAATGATTATTTATTATCTCCGCCAAAAGAAAAAAAAATTTAATAATAAACCAATATATAATAATAATCAATAAATTATTATTATAATAATGATTATTATTATTATTATTATTATCAACTTGATTATATATCACACACCAGCTCCTACAGACATTATTAGTGATTTAATTTTAATTCCAAAAAACAATATTATTTATTTTTAGTTGATGATGATGATGATGATGATGATGATCATCGTCATCAACCTCCTCGGCGGAATATTATAAAAATTAATAATAATATTTTTCTTGTGATAAAGAAATCTAATTAATTTTTACATTTATCATTATTATTATTAGTATTTAAGAGCACGGAAAAGCAAAAAGAAAACAAAAATTTTTTTAAAAATAAAATTCTTTCATCCTTTTATAATAAGAAATTTTATCAACTCATTTATGATGTTATTCGTTAAAACTTTAGTTTGAATTATGCAAATTCAAAAAAAAAAAAACAACTAAAACCGTTATAAAAATAAAATTAACAAAATATTTTTTTTCTTATGTATGACACAATTGTTAAATGTAACAACTCATTATTATTATTATTATTATCATAATAATTTTTAAATATGTCGATAATTAAAATTTTTGTGTGTAATCATATATATATATATATATATTAGTTTTTTGAACGTATTGCCCTGGGTGGATTATTTTGTACTCTTTATTATTATTATTATTATTATTTGTATTATTAGTATTATATCCTTAAAGGTTATTTAGTTTTTCTTTTCGATGCCACTTTTCTGATTTTTGATATAACGTGCCTTATATTTTCATATTTACCCGTTGAATTTGGGAGATTTTCAAAATTAATTATGTCACTAACATTAACTGAAAAAAGTTCACGAGAAGGAAGTTTAGAAAATGGCGATACACTTTTTAATATGGGTGTACCAAATTCAATGTTTTTAACACTTCCTGGTTCGTTATTTTTATCCATTTTCGATTCTATTTGATAACTTATTGTTGTTGTTGTTGTCGTCATTGTCATTGTTTCTTCCATGTTTGTTTTTATGGGTGATGCTAAATCTTCATCATCTAATTCCATTAACAATTGTCTTTTTTTTTCTTCCATTTCTTCAATCGTAGGTGAAAGAAGTCTTTTCGCCTAAAAATTTATTCAAATATTAATTATTATGCTTTGTTTATTTTTACTAACACAAGTTTTATAAATTAATTTTATAAAAAAAAAAAAAAAAATCTTACAGTTTTTTTTATTTGCTCATCAGGTTTAGATGTGTTTAGAGTTTTTTTAACATATGCTTGCACTGTATTCGGCTCAAGCATTTTAATTAGATTTTGTTTACTTTGTTCTTCTGATATGTCTGGACAACCATATAATTTTGCTTCCTATAAAAAAAAAAAAAAATTATTCTTAGCTCTTATTCTCTCATTCTCAATTTATTTTAACAATATTTAAAGAAGAAAAGGTTTTACTTAATTATAAAATATAAATAGAGACGACTTACATCTATAAAATTATTAGGGAGTGGAACATTGAACCCTGGAAACTCGATTATTTTGCTTATGTCAAATTTATCTCTACACCTTTCAGATAAAATCTCTCCTTCTTCTTCATCTTCTTCATCATCATCTAAGGTTGGAACACCTGTATTATCATACATAGCAACACCAGAATGTGAAACTTTGGCTTCTTCAAGCCAAGCAGGAGGATAACCTAAGAGTCTCATTCGATAAATAAAACAAGGTTGTTGATCCCTATGTAAATTAAGAGCAGCTCTCAATTTTTTACTAAATACTCCAGGCACTATTCCACTATATTTTTGAACCGAATCTAAGTGATAACGACTAACAAAAACAATAATAATGTAAGTTAAATACAATTTAAAGTTGTTTTTTTATATACATTAAATAAAGTTTATAAAGTATTTTGACATGACATACCTGGGCTTAGGATTAGCAGCTTTGTTAGCTTTGGCTTTATTTAAAAACTCTAAACGATTTTTATTAATTGTACGAAAATCCTTAACTTCTACACAATCCTTTAAAGGATGTTTTCCTAAGCAATTAAAGCAAGCCACTTTGGGAGCATTTAAGTTTTTTTCATTATCATCAGAATTTAAATTTTTCCCATATAAACCAAAATTGTTATTTTTACCATATTTTGGAACCTCACAATATTTACCATGAGTTGGAGTTGTATCTAAATCAAAGCTCAATATATCATTTTTTAATAACTTTACAGCTTTTTTTTCATATACTTTAAGTTCTAAACTATTTTCTTTATTTGTGACAAATGAACATTCTTCTACTTTTTGGGATAAAAATTTAATTAATGATGATTTAAGTAATTTTTCTGCGGGTTGATCCCGGAATGTTATAGTAACAAAAGGATCTATTTTTTCTGAATTTTGTCTCTCAAATTCTTCTTCAGAATCAATCTCCATATCAATAACAGATGTTTCTTCGGGTGAAAGATCTATAGTTTCTGGATTATCAGGTGATGAGGTACAATTATCATTATTTACCTTAATTTTTTCTTCATTATTATTGCCTACAATGTTTTGATTATTTAATAAATTTTGTTCTAAAACTATTGAACACATTGATTCTGTTGAATTAGAGCTTGCTTTAATCATTTCGTTAGTCTCAAACTTATTCGAAGGATTATTATTATTATTACCTTGACAGGTTTTGTTTGACAAGGTCATTTGTAATCCAATTTTATTGTTTTTTTTATTATCATTTTCTACAATATCTACATCGGAGTCATTATCGGATGTCCCAACTTCATCCAAGACAAAATAAGATTTGTTATTAATTATTTTTTCTACCCGACCAGCCATTTTTGTTGTGTCAGTAATATTTGCCAATCAGGATTCATTTTTAAATGAAGAGGCCGCAAATAACTTTAAATAAGGGCTCCAAATAAAGACTGTAAATACAACAGTTTCTTTCCAACTTGGAAGGAACCGCACTTTATTAAAAAAAAAAAAAAATGTTTAAAATGAAATTTAAATTTTAACTTTTTTAAATAGTACAGTATTTTTTACAATGAAACTTTTTAAACTTATAGTGCATCAAAAAAATTTCAGCAGTTAGTAAAAACAATTATCATTTTTTTTTTTCTTAAAATTTGATTCACGACTTTAATTATGAATTTAAATATTTAAAATAAATTTTAACTAATGTTATTAATTTTGTACTCGCTTTTAATTATGATTTTGATAATTTTTAAACCGTAAAATTTTAAAATATTAACCATAATAACAATGATAATTTATTTTTCATTATATTATTTAATACCAATAATATTTTCTTTTATTTTTTTTTTAGGTGAAGATCTTATTATTAATCCAAAAGATTTTCCTACAGTGAAAAAGGGAGATATTGTGGAAATATTTCATCCAGAAGATGAATTCAGTAGACTTTTACTTCAGATCACTTCATTTAAAGAAGATTTACAAACAAGAGGTTAATTGTAATAATTTAAATTTAAATTATGTTTATGAAAAAAAAAAAATATTTTTCAATTATTTGTATATTTAGAGTTCAAGGTTCAAACAAATATATTTAATCTGTTTATAATTAATGAATAATAATAATAATAATAATAAATAATAATTTAATTTTTAGAGGCTGTAAGTGTTGAACAGACGATTGCTTCCACATTTCAACTTCGTACATATGCAGATGTTTACATGAATGTTGTCAATCCTGAGAGTGTTGCATTAGATTCTATTGAATTGACATTTAAAGATCAGTATATGGGAAGATCAGAAATGTGGAGACTAAAAAACAGTTTGCTAAATACCTGTGTCTATCTAAATAAAAAAATTGAATTTTGTGGAGGCAGTATAAGATGCCAGGTAAAAAGATGTTAAAAATTTACCACCTTGGATGCATTAAAATGTTTTACATTGAGAAACTTGTCTTTGTATTTTATAACAATCATGAGCTTACATTTTGTTAAGGTACATGAAATGTGGTCCCAAGGAGATAGGGTTGCTTGTGGTGTAATTGCTGAAGACACAAAAATTGTATTTAGATCAAATACCAGTATGGTTTACTTATTTATTCAAATGAGTTCAGAAATGTGGGATTGTGACATTAATGGTGACTTATACTTTGAAAAAGCTGTTAATGGATTTTTGTCTGATCTTTTTCAAAAGTGGAAGGTATTTTTTTTTAAATTTTCATTTAATATTTTTTTTTATTTTGTTAAACACACTTCATCATTAATTTTTTCTTTTAGAATTATTATTTTTATTTATTTTAATTCTTGCAGAAAAATGGTTGTTATCATGAAGTTACAATAGTGCTTTTTTCTAGAACTTTTTATGAAGCTCAAGATTTAGAAAAGTTTCCAATTTATATGAGAGAATGCTTGCAACAGGATTATAAAGGTCGCTTTTATGAAGATTTCTACAGGTATGATTACTTGAAAACAGTACTTTTTTTCCCAAAGACCCAAAAATCATTTTATAATTGCTGAATTTCATAATGTTACATTAATTTTGATAGGGTAGTCGTGCAAAATGAAAGATATGATGAATGGACCAGTACTTTGGTTCAGCTTCGAAAATTATTTACAGAATATCATACAAAGGTTGTAGAATATCATAAGAGAGATGGGATTGAAATACCGAGAGCAGTGAATTCGACTGCAGCTCAAGGAAATTTTTTGGAAGTGTTAAACATGTCGTTAAATGGTTTGTATTTAGTTTAAGGTCTTAAAATTTCTTTTTTTTTTGTATAAAACTAATAATTGATTTGAATTTTTTTTTTTTTAGTATTCGAAAAACATTACCTTGACAGAAGTTTCGACAGAACTGGCCAGTTGTCTGTGGTTATCACTCCAGGGGTAGGTGTTTTTGAAGTCGATAGAGAATTGACAAATGTCACAAAGCAACGTATTATCGATAATGGTGTTGGTAGTGATTTAGTTTGTGTAGGAGAGCAACCTTTACATGCAGTACCGTTATTAAAGGTAATGGCGTTGACATTTTAGTTGGTTTACATTTTTTTAAAAAATACTTTATTGCAAATTTTCCAAACTTAAAATATTTTTTAGTTTCATAATAAAGATAGCATAAATGCAGTTGATGATTATAGTATGCCTCATTGGATAAATCTTAGTTTTTATTCGACAAATAAAAAAATTGGTCATTCAAATTTTACTCCTAGAATAAAATTACCGCCTAAAAAACCATCACCCATCATCGCTCAAGATTTAGTTAAACAAAAATTAATTCAAGATGAAGAAACTTTACCGAATTCGGTTTTTGATTACGATGCATACGATGCTCAAGTTTTTCAGTTACCAACATTTCCCGCTTCACGGTAATAATAATAATAATAATAATAATAATGGCAATCAGAGCTTTTTATAATAAAAAAAAAAGTTTCAATTTTTTTCCCCCATTTTTTAGACTTTCTCGCGGTGATTTGAAAACAATCGGTAAGATTATATATAAAAAAGGAAGCGTAACCGTGGATGGACCGGATCCACATAAAATTTCTAGAAAATTATCGGATCCGGATATTCATCACATGCTCGCAGATTCATCCGCATCCCCTCATACAGCAAGCAGTATAAATTCTACTTCGTTATCTATCGGTATCGGTTTGACATCTTCGTCTTCCATAAAACAAAGTATAACTAAAAGTTTTATTTTTATTTTTAAAAAAAATTTAGTTTTCCACAAGACATTAAAATATCTATATAATTTCAGTAAAGCCTCAAATGTCACAGGATTTAAGTTTGTCAGACGGAGATAGACATATTGCGGGAAGCGCCGGTTCTTCTCTTACTCCCACTCAAACATTAATGCCCTTACGTTGCGGAAGAGGTTTAATTAATCCTTTTGATCCTTCTCACGTCACAATAAAACTAACATCGAATAGGAGAAGATGGACTCATATTTTTCCAAAAGGTAACAACACATTTAAAAATCAAAAAAAAATGTTTATTTTATTATTTAAAAAAAATTTTTTTTTCTAGGTCCGACGGGTGTTTTAATACAGCAACATCACTATCAAGCTGTTCCTGCTCAAGTAAGTAACGATACCTCCTATCATTTGGGATCTTCTTCCGATCTACCGACGGCTTCCTCCACTTCGAATTTAAATGACGGTAAATAATAATATTTTTTGTATTAGGTTTAACTATTTAAAAACAAAAAATTTATATTTTTTTTTAAAAATTTAAAAGGTGTTAAAAGAAACCGCGGAGTCAGTTTAAGCGCAGAACCACCCGCAAAAGGGAACAAAGCTCTTTTATGGGGTGCTACTGGAGAACAAGAATGGACGCCAGCACTTACAACGGGTAAATTAATACACACGTTTGTTATTTAATTATTTTATTGAAAGAAAAAAAAAAGAGTTTATAATATTTATGAATGAATTATGATGTTATAACGGATATAAAACTAAACATTTTTAAAGGAATTTGCGATAATAATATTTTTTTTTTTTGAGATGTTTGGGTAAAGAGGTTTGAGTTCTTCAATTTAAAAAAAAAAAAAAAAAAAAAAAATTGTCTTTTATATAAAATAATAATTATATTAATTAATTAATTAAAAGGTTTTCGCAAATTATTAAACATATAGAAATAGAGTAGATAAATAATTTTCTTATAAAAATTTAAAAATAATGACGCCGCCATTTTTTTTTTTTTATTAAATTTGTGAAAGCCGTCGGTTATATAATGAAAATTGGCAACATTGTAATAAGGTGTTTTGCGGTTATTTTTTTTTTTTTTTTGTATGAAAATGAATAATATTAATATTGAAACTATCTATTTTCATGCTATCCTGATGCTGGTGCGGATGTGCAATTTCGACCCTGTTTAAAATGCTAACTCCAAGTCGGAAAAGTCATCATAGGTTTGCAAATAAAATTATTTCTATCTATCTGTTTTTTTTTTTTTTTTTTTTGATGTTTCTTGCCGAGGGCAGGTAGGCAGGCGGGCAGGCAGGCAGGCATGAGAAGTAGAGCAAATTTTATATTTCTTTATTTCCTATCCTATTCTTCTTATAAAAAAAATATGCAGAAAATTTAAAATAGAGAAAGACATCTGACCGATCACTGAGTATAAGAAAAGTATAAAAAAAAGGAGGTTTCGTAAAATACAAATCGTCAGAATCGGTTGATGTCTGTCTTGACAAAAGAGTGTCTGAAATTTAACTCATAGTGTTTCGCTTATCTAAATAAGTTAACAAAATATTTATTATTATTATTATTATTATTATTATTATTATTAATTTCAGGCCCTCTTTTAAAATAAAAAGGTTATGGCTAATGAAATTCATTCCTCTGTGTAGCTTTTTTTTTTTTATTTATTGGTGTAGCGTTAGAATTTTTCATTGCTTTTTTTTTTTTTTTAATTCTTATTCTTTCTGCTTATGGGAAACGGAGTTTTTTTTTTTACAATAATAATAATAATAATAATAGTTATTATCGTTACGAATGAAAAAATGAACACTTTAAAATGTGCAAATTATTAATTAAATTCATAAAAATAAATGATTCTTTTTTTTTTTTAGGATGGTAGAAGGTAATGTTTATCAACAAAATAATGATATTTGCTTCATTTTGTAAAAAAATAAATAAATTTGTCGTTTTAAATCGTTTGAAAATTTAAAAAAATATAAATTTATGTATTTATTAGGAGTCGATTGGAAATCGTTAACCATACCTGCTTGTTTGCCCATAACCACGGATTACTTTCCCGACAAAAGAAGTTTGCAATACGATTATCTTTTATCGGATTATGATTTGCTACCTGATGACGTCAACGCGGATTTCGCACAACATCGTGCCGTGTATAAGAAACCGCTGACGACGAAAGAAGTTTTCAAAGAATTGGTATCGCAAAGATTGGCACAGGTAAGTGTAACCACGAATCGTGGTAAAGTTAATAATAATAATAATAATAATAATTGATTTTTTTTCCTTTCAAAAGGGTTTTCAACTCATCGTTCTTCCCAATTTAAACAAAGAATCGCAAAACACTCAGGGAAAGTCGTTGGTTAGAAGTCATCATGCGACCAACAATCTTGAACCTTCGGAAGAATATTTACTCAGCATCGGAAGAATTTTTCATAAGATATCTCTTTCAGGTTCTTCCATCACCGTGACAAGGTAAGTAAAAAAAAAATAAATATTTCGTTTGTTTGATGGAAATAATATAAAAAATTTGAATTTCAGGTACAGGCCACGTCATCCGTATCCGCCATTTAATATTCACTATCAGTACAGATTTCAAGCTCCCGATCATCCGACGTACGAAATGTCGAGGGTGTCTTTCACGACGGAAAAATTAGAAAATTACAGTTGGAATTTTTTAGATCATTATATTTGCACGCGGGGAGACACCGATTTTCCATTGGCTGAGGTTTTTTTTTTTTTTTTTTTTTTTTATTTATTATTATTAATACGAACGCCATTTTGTTATAAAATTTCTTAATTTTCCTTTTTTCCTTTGTTACAGAATTTAAAATACTGGAGATTTCGGATATATTTACTTCCTTTGTCGTGGAACGCGACGGTAACGAAAAAAATAATGGAAGGTTCGAAACATTGTGACATGTACACGTGGACGACGGTTCAAGAGCAGACGACGCTTTTAGAATCATTTCTACGTTACATCGAAACGGGAATAAATAAGATAAAAAGGCCGAACGTTTGTAAAAAACCGAGAGTAAGTTTACATAAACAATCAATCAATCATTCATTCATCGATTTGCTTAATTTTTAACTTGACTAAAGCATGCATTCATTATTATTATTATTATTATTTTTTTTTTTTTTAACGAGATTTATTTCGATAATCGAACTTTAAAATTATCGAATAAAATTCGAGAGGTAGGTGTAAGTCGATTAATAATTTTTCGTAAACGATATATTGAATCGATCTCGAGATTAACCGTAAAAAAAAAAAAAAAAAAAAAAAATCATTTTTTTTCTTAATTTGCAGTTTTTTTTTTTTTTTTTGTTTGTTTGTTTGTAGTAGCATGCATATATATATATTGTATTACAGAGCCCACCGCTAGGCACATACCTCTATGGACGTAGACGTCATAGCACGGGTATCATCGCTTTAGCTCATAACACTAACTCCCAGGTATTATTTATTATTTACATTCTCTCTTTGAAAGGGAGACACCATTACATATCATTTTTTTATTTAATTTTTTAACAGCAAAGCTTTCGAAGTCGAAAAACAATTTAAATACAATTCTAATAATGATAATAAATGATTAGTTTAGTTTTAGGTTCAGGTCGTTGTAACTAAAATTAATAATAAATAAATAAATCGTTCAACACATTTTTGTTAATTCATCCGATAAATCGTTTTATTAATATTTTAAATGGTTTTATAAAAAACAAGAGGTTTTAACTTTAGAATACATTTGAACCTAATAAAGCAGTTTGTGATTTCAGAGCGGAGGAATTGGAAATTCACCTTTCAGGGATCGTTTGGGAAGCATAAGACTTTTAGACAGGCAAAGGTTTGTTGTTGTTGTTGTTGTTGTTCATTCATCCCGTTTTGGGGTTTTGGTTTTTTTTTTTTTGCTTTGCTGGGATTTTGTGAATAATAATAATAATAATAATTTTTTTTGATTGCTGATTTGTTTTCGAATAATGCTTTTGCATTTTTTTTTTTTAATTGCAGCATCACTAACAGCTTGATTTTTATTTTCTGCTAGCCATTCACTGCCGAAAATTTTTTTAAATCGCGGAAAATTGTTTCGATTTTCTTCTTCTCCTCCTCCTCGCATTTAAAAATTTTTTTTTTTTCTGCTTCTTAAAAAAATTTTTTTTTTCCAATATTTTTCATTTTAGGATAAACAGGGATACGGTCGTTGTTATCAAAATGATAAATCCTCGTACAATTTCAGGTGAGTGAGTACGTAACGGTCGGTTTTTGTTTTCCTGTTCCTGGCTTTTACTCTCTTTAAAACTTTGAGCTTTTTACGAAGCTTTTTTGCTTTAATTTGCTAAGTTTTTCGTCTCTTTAAATTATCGGAAGAAAAAATTATTATTATTATTATTATTTTTGTGTGCGTAGACCAAACTTGAAAGCGATCGAGAGGGGAAAAATATCGTCTACTTCTGATAATTTTTCATCGCCTGATAATTTCAATTTCGATTCCGAAACCAACGAAGATTCTCAAGGGAATTCGGAGCCGACAAAATTAAAAAATACGTCATCCCTCGCCGAAATACTCGAGGCCATGACGCATGGAACTTCAAGTGAATTATTATTATTATTATTTTATTAAATTTGGAATCTTGATTTATGCAGAAATAACAGAAAATAATTTTAATCGTAGATCATCCGTTTTTCGTTCAACATCCCAGTTTGCCTTCCATGACGTTTACGAGTGCCGACGCAGTTCAATGGTTGATTCAACACGTCGAAGGTGTTGAAAATGGAGATGATGCGATCGCCATAATGGAAAAAATGTTGAAAGAAAAAAAAATATGTCACGCTTCTGGAGATTTTAGTCTTCCGTTCATCGTCGGCTACTACCTCTATCACGTTTGCGTTAACGTTGCGGATTCTAAAGGTAGAAAAAAAAAAAAAGAAGAAAATTTTTTTTCTTGAGGAAAAACTAAAAATTATCATCCATCGCGTTCCATGATTAGATTCCGATTATTCTCCTCCACTTCACGACCTTCACAGTTTTGAAAACGAATGGGTCGAAATTGAAATTCAACATCCGAATAATTGGCGGCAAAATTTTGAAAATAAAACGGCGGAAACGACGGTACCGAAATTTTTAAATGACATTCTCGAAGATAAATGTCAGGATGATCAGGAGCAATCTTCGAGAGATTGGAAAAGTATCGGAAATGAATTTCTTTTTATAAAATTTTCTTAGGAGGTTTTTTTGCTACAATAATCGTTGTACTCTCTCTCTCTCTCCCCCTAACAGCTCCCATGTATAAACAAGTTCATCTTGAAATCGATGTGAATAACAAAAGCGATAGAATCGAATGGGGTCACTGCAGGTATCAGTCATTTTATCGACCCGATAGAGCTTTCGAATTGGTCATTCAATGGATGGCTGCTTCCGGTACAATCGTTGCCGATTTGGTAAGTTAAAATTTATTATTATTATTATTTTTTTTTTTAAGGTGGTAGTATAAAGTTAAGTTTTTTTTTTTTTTTTTTAGATATCCGGTTGGGCTCGTAAATCCCAAGCATGCGGGATTCAAATGATTCCATTACCCGGAGATCCACTTTCATTACCGTTCAACGATAGATCGGATCCCTTGAGGGGACCGTTATTTGTGCCTCTCGACACGGAATGCCTCATGGGTAACAAGAGTTACCTCTTTCAAGGTAAGTGCAAATTTTTTTTTTTTTTTTTTCGTAATCGATTCCGAGAAATTTTGCGTTGATAGATTTTCCCGAATCGTCTTGGGACGCTAGACTCGTTCTTTTGCAAGAAGCCATCGTTCAAAGATTCGGTTTCATAGCTTGCGTGGTGGAAAGTAGAAAATCCGTGAGAGCATCCTATAGAAATTTATATAATCATCATCATCAATACGTTCACGTGACAGGTTTGAAATAATTCCAACGGATTTTTTGCGTTTGATATTATTTGTCACAAAACGAAATAATTTTTTATCCCGTTAGGAAATATGTTCATACTCATTCCGTCGACGCCATGTTCGAAATTAAAAGAAAGAATGGTTCAAAATTCGATAAGCGTGGGATCCCGTAGTTTCGATCATCATCAACAATCGAGTAGGAAATATCCGATTCAATCAGATGTCGCATGTAGTCCTCACGAAGAATACATAACGAGACATGTTTACGGGAATAAAAAAGCTTATAACGAATCCGATTCCAGGGTGATTTCCCATTTTTTTCCACTGTTGATTTTGATTTACGAAAAAATTAAATTAAATTTAAAATGCTTTTTTTTTTTTTTTTTTTTTTTTTTTTTTGCGTCAGCCTGGGTTTTTATGGTTTTGGAATCACATGGTTAGCAGGCGGTGGAAATGTTCTTCTACTCCGGCAACGGGTGACGAAGTTTTTCAAAATAAAATACTTGAAGATTTCCGACAATTTTGTTCGAATCAAGATAATCGTTTGAAATCGTTTTGGGATGAAAGCTATGAAAAATTTCAAAAATATAAAAACGAAGTAAACCGGCGGATATAACGATAATAATAATAATTATTATCAGAGTAAAACACAGTCAATTTTTACAATTTATTATTATTAATAGTACAAACTATTTATTTATTTATTTTTATAAAATGCGTGTATATAAACTTATATATATAAAATGTTATTATTTTAATAAAAAAAATAATTTATTTTGCATAATTTATTATTATTCGAAAAAAAATTCTCGGTAAAAGGAGGTCGTTTTCGTAGTCGTACAACGTCGTGACGTTTTATAAACGGGAGGAGGTAAGACGTCATCATGGGAGAATGGGTAACTCCTCCCTCCCCCGATCCCGCCCCTTATTATTAAAATTGGAAACTGGGAACAAAACTTGGCGATAATTTCTTTCTTTACAAAATAATTTGGTAATAACTTTCTAAGAAAGTTACGAGGATAAATTTTTTATTTATTTTTTTTCACCTTTTAGTTTATACGAAAAAAAATTATCGATAATTAATTTAAAATTTAAATTTTTTTTTTTTTTTTTTGCTTTGAGTCAATTCTATATACAATAAATCATTTATTTATATTTAAATTATTATTATCATTATTATTAAGTAAAATAAAACAAAATTTCGTAACGAGAAAAACTTGTTTCGTGTAAAAATTTTCCAAATTTTTACCATTTATTAACTTTTATTAATAGGAAAAAAAAAATTTTTTTTTTTTCATTGTTAATTAATAAATAAAAAACCCAATTTATTATTATTATTATTATTATTAATAGAACACACGCACACACACGTCCCGTATATAAAATATAATAATCATTTATCGTATTTTGAACTTGACACAAAAATAAATGACTCTGAAAAATCCCATAAAGCCACAATTAAAAAAAAAAAAATTAATTTTTTTTTTATAAATGAATTGCCGCGAAAATCATCATCATCATCATCATCCCATGCCCAAAAAAAATATATATATATTTAATACTTATTAAATACAATATTGACGTCGACTTTGTGACTCGTTTTTAATAAATTTCTCTCTCTCTCTCTCTCTTTCTTTCATTTTACGTTTTTATTTAATTCTTTCATTTAATATTAAAAACAACAATTTTTTTTTTTTTTTACTTTTAATTTTAATTTTAAATTGGTTGTTGTTGGCGTGTGAGTTTGTTGTTTGTTGTTGTTGTTTAAAAAAAAAAAAAAATAAAATAAAAATTTATAAAAATTGTTATCGATAAAAGGTTTGTGATTTTTTTTTTTTTAAATATTAATATCGTCATTATTATTATTTTTTGTTTTAATGTTTGTTTTGTTTGTTTTAGAAAAAATTTAAAAAAAAAAAAATGAAAACATTATTGATTTTATTAACCGTTTTTGGAAGTTTGGGTGTTGATACTCAACACATAACATTTCCACAATCGTTACGTCACACATTACCAGCAATGTTCGATTACAATCCTGGAATGATAAACGAATTTGGAACGACACAAAATTTAGCTTATTTCGTTGCTAATTTGGGTTTGAAAACATTAAGAGATTTACTAACGAAACAAAACAACGTTATCATATCGCCATTGAACATATATTCCTGTTTAGATTTGTTAAGTTTTGGAGCCGTTGGAAAAACTAAAGAAGAGGTGCTTGATAAATAATTTTTATAATTTGAGGTAAAATGTAGAGGAGGAGGAGGAGGAGGGGGGGGGAAATGGAAAAAAGAAATAATTTAATGGATATAATAATCTATTTTTTGCGTTTAGCTTGAAAATGTTTTAGGTCCGAAAAATTCAAACGAAACACTTTCGAATATTTTAATACCGACGACAAATGGTACCACATATTACTCTTCATCTGTTTTTCTGGATGATAATTTTACTCCCAGACAAGAATTTTTAAATTTGATATCTGCTAATTACGATGCATCCGTTATAAATGTAAACATGACAAACGGTGAACAAACGAAAAATTTAATAAACAAGTAAATAAGAAAAAAAAATTAAGACTTTTTGTTTGTTTGATGTGGAATTTTTCTTTTTTAACGTTACGAATTTTGTTTTTAAAGATGGGTTTCAGACAAAACAAACGGTACGATAAAAAATTTAATACAACAATCGATAGATCCAACATCGAGAATGATTGTTGTCAGTGCTTTGTTATTTAAAGGAAAATGGTTGCAATCTTTTTCACCCTCTGCTACAACCAAGTACGACAAATTTTGCTTTTTTTTTATAAATTTCTCTTATTAAATAAAAATAATAATTATATTACTTACAGGGGTAAATTTATTGTTGATGAAAATACATCGGTTAATGTCGATCTCATGAATTTAATAGCAACGGTTCCAGTTGTTAAAAATCCGTTACTCGACGCCATAGGTTTACCATATAAAAATCCTGGAATGTACATGTATTTGATTCTTCCAAAAGCACACGGTATAAACAATTTAAAAAAACTTCTTTCTCATTTAAATGTTAATTCGTTGAAAAAATTAAAAAGCGAAAGCGTTAACGAAGAAATTATAATAATAATACCTAAAATTAAAATCGATGTACAATATTCACTAACTAAACCATTAAATCAAGCTGGACTGTCCGCCATATTTAATCCTTCTCAAGCGAATTTTGCAAATTTGGCGGTTAACGTAAGTGTTTTGTTTTTGTCAAAATTTCGTCGTCTTGTTGCCTTTTTGTTACTATATGATATTAATGTTTCGTTTTTGTTTTGTTTTTGTAAATCCTTTCGCAGGATACGAATTTGTTTTTATCGGAAATTTATCACAGCGTTCATTTTGAAATGAATGAAGAAGGTACGATAGCATCAGCAGCAACAGCATCCGTTTTAACTAAAAGTAGTAAATTTATATTTAAAGCATCCAGACCTTTTATTCTCGTTATAACGGATGATAAAAATTTAATTTTGTTCATGGGTGCCATCATTAATCCGCACTAAAAAAAAAAATATTACCGTTATTATTATTATTATTATTAAGTGATTGCGATACTTATTTATTATTTTTGTTTTAATTTAAATTATTTTTCTCAAGAATAATCATGGAAAAGATATCAAGGATACGTTTGACGGCCATTTTGATTTTATTAAAGGTAAATAAAAAAACTTAAATTTTTTCCAAAAAAAAAATATAATTAATTTTTTTTTTTTTACATTAACTTAATTATTATTATTATTATTATTTTGATATGAGACACGTGATTTATAAAAAAATAAAATACTTTTTAAAAAATATACATAAATCTAAACAATAATAATAATTTAAAAAAAAAAAAAAAAAAAAACCAAAACTTTTTACACAAGTTAAATTATTTTTAATAATAAATAAATAATTTTATTTTTTTTTGTTTTTATGTATAAATAAATTCTTATCTAAAAAAAAATAATAAAAGTAAAATAAAATAAAAAGAAAATAACTTTATTAAATGCATTTATAATAATAATAATGATAATTTTGTACTTAAATGTCTTTTTAAAGTTTAAGAAAAAAAAAAAAGTTAAATAACAAAATAAAATGATTTAATATTATTATTATCATTATTCTTTTTTGTCTTTTTCAATAATGGAATCATACATACATACATACATACATAAATTGTTATTTACATTTTAATTTTTTAAAGATTTTTAACAATACTGATCAACACAAAATGAATTTCAGTTTATTTTTTTTTTTACATTAAATTTTTCCCTATTTAAAATTTAAATATCATCATCATCATTATTATTATTTTAATAATTATTAAATAAAAAAAAAAAGTAAAAACAAATAAAAATAAATGCGTAGTAACAATATAAATTACAAATTATTACAATAACTTATCTATAAATTAAATATTAAAATAAATTAATAATAATAATAATTATTTTTCTATTTATGTAAATAGTAATAATAATAATAATAATATATAAAAATCATGATGAAAATGGGAAAAAATTAATTTCGTTTTGTTCGAATTCACCGATCGTATTGATTAATTGATTATTGATATCGCAATCTAATTCCAAATGATTGTCCAATGAGGGATCGATAAATACAAAAGGTACCAAAGCTTCCTGTTCGTACGTTTCCGGTTCGAAATTGTACCTGGGATAATAATTCGTTTCCGGAATCGAAATTTGCGAATTATATTTCGTCAATTCGTATTTTAATTTTGCTTCTTGAATTTGTTTTTCTTCTTGACAAAATTTTGTTTTTCTTCTCGCTTGCTGTTGTTCTTTAGCCGAATGATTTTTTATATGTTTACGGAGTGAACTTGGATCTGTGTAACGTTTTGTACATCCAATCACCTGACAAGCGTAAGGTTTCTGTTAACAAAAAAGAAAATTTGTTATGTTGTTGTTGTTGCTGTTGTTTAAAGTATTAATAATAATAATGATGTAAACTAACGGTGTCAAAATGGGTTCTTTGATGTTTTGCACGATCCGAACTATTGCTGAATGCTTTTGTACATCCTTCATACTGACAGGTATACGGTCTTTCTCCCGTGTGACTCCTCTGATGTATTTTAAGATTTTCCAAACGTGAAAATGCTTTCGTACATCCTTCGAACTGAAATCAAAACAGGAGATGTGTTAAATTTTCCGAAGGGCGATTTGACTCAGGTCAATGGAAAGTTATGTAATTTTTTTAAATGGTTGTTAAAAAAATTCATTTACGGTTGAATACTCGTAACCTTTGTTAAAAAATCAATTTTTAAAATTCAAAAAAAAAACCGCGAAATCATTCAAAATTCCTTATAAAATAATAATAATAATAATTAATTAAGAAAATTTTTTTTTTGTTGATGGACATTTAAAAACTAATTAAGAAGGGTCAAGACTTAAAAAGTAAGAAAAAATTGAAATTTTTTTTTTCTCTCTCTCTCTATTTAAATCAAACCTTTTACAAAAAAAAGGAATTACAATAATAATAATAATAATGATGATGATGATATAATGAAAATATTAATAATATAATGAACTTGTTGTTAAGGTTTTTGACTTTTCTCAGGATCACATAATAGTTTTTTATATCACATAATATTATTCCTTTTGTTATTATTATTATTATTATTATTAATATAACCGAGTTAACCATATGTGAATGAAAACAAGTGTAATGAAGTGTAATAAGTTATTAAAAAAAAAAAGAAATCACAACACATGTGATGAACCTTAATATCATTTTACATTGCAACAAGTGTTTATAAAAAAAAAGTTTTAGCTTCAGTGAATTTTACATATTTAACGTTATAAAAAAGTCACATATTTATTTATTAAAAAAAAAAAGGGGGGGAGGGGGGTGTTCATTAAATCCTCATCAGCAAATGTTTTTTTTCCGTAACGGTTTTATTATTATCATCATCATTGTTTTTTTTTTTTTTATAACGGGGTTTAACGGGGCACGTTTTGTACATTAAATTTTTTTTTTTATAGTATTTTAAATCATTATTATTATTATTATGATTAGAGGAAGTTTTTGAAATTATTGTAAACATACTCATTGGTATTATTATTATTATTATTATTATTATTATTTGAATTCTGAGGTTTACGTTAATTTTAATCACCTGTTTAATTAAAAAATTTTAAAAAATTAATGAGGGATGATAAGAAATTGATGAAATAAAAAAATTAATTATAAAATGTTGTCATGTTTTGTTAAAAAAGTGCAAGGTCAAAGGTCACAAATAAACATTTTGCAATAGTTGCTGTAATTTAACAAGACTTTTCCATTAGGTTATGAGGGTCACACACACACACACACACACACACACACACACACACACACACACACACACACACACACACACACACACACACACACACACAACTGATATTAATTTAATAATTTGCAATTTAATAATACAAAAAAAAATTTAATAAATAAATAAATAAACTCACTGGACATTTATTTGGTTTTTCTCCAGAATGTACTCTCATATGTATCAAAAGTTTATAACGTGCGTTGAACGGTCTCGAACGCCTCGAACAGTCTTCCCAAAAACAAGCAAATTCTTCACCTTTTCTATGTTCGACGTGACATTTTTCTATGTGTTTAACGAGCGTGATTTGATTTGGAAATATTTCTTCGCAGTTCATCCATTTACATTTTAAAGGCACACCTGTGACGTCACGAAAACAAGAAAAAATGAGCGAAAAAAGTTTTTTGCGAAGGAGGGGGAGAGGGGGGAAAATTCGTGTTTTACCGTTTGTTTCTTCTTCGTCGCTTACTTCGGTACTGCTCACCGATGGTTGTTTACTCGTCAAAATTTCATCCCCCAAATGATCATCTTGTTTAATGACCAAATGATTATTTAATATATTTAAATTTTGACTAGATGATTTTTCTAAATTTCTCATCGCTTTTAATTCATCGTCGTGTCGTTGGAGATCATCGTGACTAGAAGAAGTTCTTGCTGAAAGATGACCGTAGCATCCGTTTTGTTCGTATGAATGATTTAATGTCGTTTCCAAACTTGTAGATGATGTCCTTATCAAACAATTTAAATCCGTTTCTCCAACCATGAGTGATGTCGTTCGAATTCTTTTAGCTCTTCTTCCACCCCTCATACTTCTACAACACAAAAAATACGGTTCACGTCACAATTAATAATACAAACGCCATATTTAAAAAAAAAAAAATCCTGTTCCCACTTTTCTGGAGTTCAAATGTCAAATTTACCCCCTTAATAAAAACTAACTTTGATGACATTTTAATTGCTTTAAATTTTTTTTTTTTTTTTTTTTTTTGGAATGTTTATGGAACCTGAAATTTTTCCGAACCGTAAACGTATATATTTTTGTTACAAATTAATAATTTGCTGAGGGGGTGAGATGGGGTTAAATTACAAAAAAATTTTTTTTTTTTACCTTGAGTTTGCAACAGCTCTCGCACCTCTTTTAAGTGATCTTCCATTTACTGGTGGTGGTGGTGGGGCGGTGGTGTTGGTGGTACCTGTTTCATTTTCTTTATGAGTTCCATTAGATCCATCAGATTCGAAATTTTCTTTCCAGTCTGTTTTTCTTCTTACTTTTTTTATAATTTTCCCTTTCAAATCTTGTTGAGCATTCACTAAACCATCCAATGTCCGATATTTATCATCAAATTCTTGATTTTGATCAAGGAAAAAAATTTTCCCATCCATTATATTATTTTCAATATGACAACAATTTTCATTATCAAATATATTATTATTATTATTATTCACTTTCACATCACAATCAGATAAATTATTTATCGTCCTCGTTGTAATATAATCTCCATCGATTGGATATTCCGATTTGAAATTTAAAAGTGGTAAAAATTCTTCCATTTTTTGCGGGATTTGATGTGTTTGATCAGAATAATGATTATTATTATTATTTATGTAAGTGTAATTATTTTTTTGAAATCTAACATTTTTTAAAACGTTCGTCGTTTTTTCCGCCGATTCTTTTATATGTGATACGGTTATTGTATTTTCCATTTGATTGAGTAAATTGTGAAAAACATCAGGTTGATTATTATCGGAGGGGGGGATTTGCATGAAATTCGTTGTAAAATTTTCTTGTATGTCAACGTTCGGATATTGATTATTATTATTATTATTATTATTATTATTATTATTATTATTATTATTATTATTATTAATTAAATTAGGCATTACGGGTGGATTGTGAATGGGCATGAAAATATTACCGTTACGAACGGTTTCTTCGATCATATTATAATCACTTATCGGAAAATTTTTATAGTCATGAAAATCATTTTGCATTTCGACAAATTCAGGTTCTAAATTGCAAGGTTTCGATGAGAAAAGTCCGGTTAAATTAGGTATGTCTTCATCTGGGGATAAAGCGGGTAATGAAGACAAAACGCTTGAAGGAGGAGATGAAAATGGTCGAAAGGGAGGCTGTACGAAAAAAACATCTTGAAAATTTTCAAGTTTTTTCCTTTCCACATCTTCTTCGTGTGAAAAAATTGTCGATTTCGTATCGGAAATTTCATCCCCGGTTTCAAAATCAAAATTTAAAGTCAAATCGTTTTTTATATTTTGTTGTTTACTAACAAAACTTTCATTTTCAATATTAAATATGTTTCGATTTTCCATTTCGTTGTGTATCGTTGTATTTACTGGATTGTAAATACCTGTAAATTTTTCTGTAAAATATTGATAGGATTCTCCAGGTGAGGATGAATATTTATGTGCACCTGAATACGTTGCAGGAGGCATCGCTGTCGTTGCAGCATCGTGTAAAATATGCATGTAAGAACTTTTAAAAACTGGCGTATCTAAATGCATTGTAAATGAATCTGAAATTTAATTGTAAAATTCGTAAAAAATTAACAGGGGAACAGAAATTCCAAGAAGTATTTTTATAAATATTTTTTTTTTTTTTTCCGTTAAAAAAAGGGTAAAAGAATTCCGTCATTAAATAAAAATGTATATTTTTTTCTCTTATTTCAACACCTCAAATTGTGTCATTTGGTTTTTTTAGTAAAACCTCAAAATGCATTTTTTTTTTTTTGGCAAAAGTTTCTAGAATTTCCTCTTTGAAAATAATTAGCCTAAACGAGGGGAAACACACCACGCACACGCACACGCACACTCGCACATTTTATTAAAATTTATAAAAATTCTAAAAATAATTGAATAAATTTAATAAGTTAATTTATTTTTTTTCTCGCATATAAAAAAAAAAAAAAAAAAAAAATTCGATCGACTTGACCTAAATTTAATCGTATAAAAAATTTCCGTTATATTATTAAAAATAATAATAATAATAATAATAATAATAAATGGGAGCTTTAAATTCATTAACGTGCACAATTAATTAAATTAAATAATAATAATAATAAAAATAACGATAATCGTATTTTAATATTATATAAGATTAATAAGTATTCGAATAAAAGAGTGATTAAATGTAAATAAATCATAACAAAATAATAATTAAAAGTCAAAGGAAAAGTAATCGAGAATAAGAAGAAGAAGAAGATGAAAAGAAAAACGTTCAGAAACTTACCAAATTCTTTCGCAAACGATAATTTTTTTTTTTTTTTTGTTCTATCCTTTGAATTTATTAACGGTTATTAATAATAACGAACATAAACACAAATAGGCCTTCCTGTTGTCTAAAAGCACAAAACATGAATGATGACGGAATTTTTAAGTTCTTCGGGATCATTAGAGCATACCCATCAATGCTAAAAGGTGTCATCTGCTGTAGGACCAATAAGATGTGTGTGTTCATCGCAGCATTTTAATAGTCATTTATTTTTTATTTATTTATTTATTTATTACTACGTAATTATTATTATCATTATGTTTTTTTTTCCTTTTTACTAAAATAAATACGTTAATTTTTTTTTTTTTTTTTTTTTTTGATAAGGTATTGTTGTTGATATTTTTCTTCCACGACATCCATGACGTGATTTCGAATTGTTGTTAAATTTGGCGCAAACCTAAAAAAAAACGAATTGGTGCCTTTTTATTAAAAAAAAAAAAAAAAACAAAATGGCGTACATTTGTCCGTTATATTTAAAAATTTACCCTTAAATATTATATAAATGGAATTTATAATGAAAATAATAATGTTTACCTTTTTTTTACTTTGTTTACGGCTATGAATACATTTAGGTGGGAGCGGGAAAAAATTTATTTTAACAGGTTAATAATATTAATAATAATAATAAATGCAATTGCATTTAAATCATTCGGTGTTTAAAAAAAAAAGAAAGAAAGAAAGAAAGAAAGAAATAATTTACTTATGGTTAACGAGGGTCAGTTTGCAAATTTGAACTCGATTTTTGATAACTCGTTTGTTTTTTAAAGTGACCCCCGAAAATATTTTTCCGTTTGTTATTTTATACGAAAAAACGTTTTGTATATTATTTTAGTATTGTTATCATAGATTAATAATAATAATAATAATAATTGTTGCTAACGAAAGCTGCAAAAAGGTTTTTTCTGTTAATATAAGGACAAATGGGCGGATCAAGAAAATGTGGGCTCGACTTTGCCGGGCAACGTATAAATGAATTGCCATTGGTTGTTTTTTATTAATTTGTAACCGTTGTTGCCAAACATAAATGTTTTTTTTTTTTTTTTTTTTATACAAACGAATGTTTGTCTGACTGACTATTAAAATGATAACAAAAAAAAAAAAAAAAAACAAAAATCTCCTCAAAAAAATATAAAAGAAAAAAAGGGAAATTTTCTTTTGAGTTTTTTTTATTAATAAATTAAATTTAAAAAAAATTTACGATTAACCAACCGGAAAATCGAGGGGGAAAAAAATGTCGCAGAAAATCAAATTTTTTTATTTTTTATTTTTATTGAAAAACGTCAGGATTAAACATAAAAAATTCCTAAAACTTATGTATTAATAAAATACATAAATGAATACTAAAAAATTGCTAACAATCTTCGCTTTATTTATTAAATAAAAACAAAAATTATTATTTTCCTAAAGGGCAAAAGTTATTTAAGTTAAATAAACTCAGCAGTTCGCTAAAAAAAAAAAAAAATTAATAGTAATAATAATAATAATAATAACTGACATAAAAATTGTGTAATTGGGGGCAAAAATGGCAAATCATTTGTCTGCTGAATACCCCCTGCAGTCCATTACAAATTTCCAGAATATATTGGAAAGTTATAAATAAATTTAATCAATGGTATAAGAAAAAATTAATTTTGGATTTTAAATAGATAAATAAATAAATAAATAAATTTTGCAACGTCTTAACAATAAAAAAAAAAACGATTTGAAGTGTATGAAAATGTATTTAACTGTGAAATAATAGAATGAAAATTATTATTTTTTTTTTTTTGAAAATTCGTTAAATTTTTCTGAACAAAAAAAACAGTAAAATATATATATTTATGTATTATTAAAATTAACGTCACGATAGACGTAAACATATTGCATAATATCGTTCGATTAATATTATATTAAAAATGATAATCTGAGGGTCAGTTAAGACTCTATCTAACATTGAGATATATATCTATCATTTTTCTTTTGGATAATTTTTTTTTTTTTTTTAACGAACAAAAAAAAATCAATTTTTTTGCAAGGTTTTTGACCGATTTTCAATTTAGGCTATTATAAAAAAAAATTATTATTATTATTATTATTATTTGTTAAATGAATGAGGAAAAAATGAAGAACGAGAGCAACGATCGAAATATAAAACATATTTTTATTAAAAAAAAAAACTTTTTGCCGAATTTTTTTTTAAAAAGAAAATTGATAAGAAAATAAAATAAATGATAAGAAAAATAATTTAATTTTCCATGATTAAAATTTACATTACATAAAAGGCCTTTAAAAGAAAATTTTTTTTTTTATTAATTTTATTAAGAGTACTATATTGTAAAAAAAAAAAAAAAAGTAAACTTTATACGTAAACAAAAAATTTTAAGTTGGTAGCTCCGATAAAAATTTTCCATTAATGCCTAAAAAATTTCCCTGACGCACAGGGAAATTATTATTTTGCACGTTACAATTTTTTTTTAATTAAAACGATTCGAGATATTTTTTTTTTTTTAAGGATAAATTTAAACAAAAAAAAAAAAATTTAATGCAAAATAATAATAATTTTACAAGGAAAAAAAAAAAAAAAAAAACCTGAGTAAAATATAATAATAAATATGTTTCGCCTTTTATTTACTTATTACCTCTCATTCCGTTAAAAAAATTTTTTTTTTTTTTTATTTAAAATGAAGCATAACGACATAAATGATAAACAATGATAACCCGTGGCTCGTGACAAAAGGTTACCACCAAAGGTTATGAAATCAGATAGGCTCAAAATGGAATTGAATTGATTGTCCTCGACGAGACTTTGGGTAAATTTTTTTTTTTTTTTTTTATGTTCAAACAAACAAAATTCCTGATAATTTGTAATTTTTTTCCAACGTTCCAAAATGTCCGATTTTTTCCAAAGTGACACAAAGTGTGTCTGTATTTTCATTCAAATTTTTTTTTGTATGTAATTAATTATTATTATTTTTTTCCCTTTGGAAAAATTCAAATAAATACTTATTGACCGTAGCTTTATTTATTATTTTTAAAAAAATAATTAATTTATTGATTCTTGAATGAAATTTCTGGAAATTTTTTTTTTTCATCTGGTTTTAATTTATTAATGAGTACGTTTAGTACATGAGTACGCTTTTCAAATAATTATTTGTCATATATATATATGCAATTGTAAATTAATAATTTTTTTAATATTTATAATTTATTTATTTATTTCATCCGGCTCAATAAAATAAATTAAAATAAATAATAAAAACGTTTTTTCGTCGTTCTTTATATATATATGCGTGTGTGTTTGTGTGTGTGGTTCTATAAATAATCTGATGTAAGCACACGCAAAAAATTATTAATTTTTTTTTTATTTAAATAAAATCGAAGTCCAAGGATTAAAAAATTCGATACATAAAAAATTGATATTGTTTCAAGGTCTTTAAATTTAATATTAATTACAACAGCAAAATAAATAAAAAATTATTAAAATAAAAAAAATCCATAAATATATACGTTTATGTAAACATTATTTTTGTAAATCTACAAAAATTACACACGGCTAAATTTTATTTATTTATTTTTTTTAAGTTATTACAAATTTTAATAATACGGACCTTTATTTATTAAATAAAAGTAATAAAAAGTGTCACAATTCCTTTAATAATTAATAAAATAGGAAAATTTATAATAATAAAACTTATTATTATATTATAAATTATTGTAATTCCCTTTTAATAATAACCCCTTAAAAAATTAATAAATAATATTTATATTTTCGACCAAAAAAAAGAAAGAAAATATCCAAAAATAAATATATAAAAAAAAATGACATATTGGAATTGTTGGCACGAATAATTAGTAATGAATATCATTTGGAGAAAATAAAAAAAAAAATTAAAAATCCAAGCGGGAGAGACAGTTGTTTAAAATTTATAATCGTAAACATTAAAAAAAAAATAAAAAAAAAAAAGAGAAGGGCTCACTTGTCATAATTAGATTTTAAAATAGTTGAGTGACAACAGTAAGAAAAAAAAGTCTGAGTAAAAACAATAAATGCAGCTGCAATATAATAATATCTTGTTACAATGCAACTTTATTAGATCTGCATATGTATTATTAAAATATAATTATTAACTTATTAATAAGTGGCAAATACATGTTGAAGGTATTTGTTAGCATTTCATTGAACTTTAAAAATTATTTCAAATCGAATGATTTGAATAAATTTTCCTAAATAATAAAGAATTTGAAACTTATGAAACCTTTACATAATCATAAGTTATTAAAATTTTCAACAAGCCTATTTAATAATTTTTTTTTAACTGAGAATTTTTTATATTCCAAACACATGTGTATGGAAAGGAAAGTTCCTTTTGGATCCCATTGACCTCTGTGTGAGAGGTCATTTTATTAATCATTAGCTTTTTTTT